ATATATATATGTAGACTTTAAAACAGACTAAATACAAATGTAGAAACATATCTGTTCAAATTAAAAGAAAATCAGTAAAAGAACAAAAATTATTGGAAGTAAAAGTTTCCTCTTCTGAATTTTAAAAGTAATGTTTTTGTTACATTTTTTGATGGTTTTATTTTCACAATTCTTCCTTTTCAGTCCCCATAGTTTTAAAGAATGCTTCCCTTATTCAGGATATGTAGTTAAAAATAAATTTATTGCTCCTGTTATTGTTTAAACACTCTTAAAAGCTCCTGGTTGGTTTGCAACAGTTCGGATTTTATCATTTTTCTTTATGTCTCAAACTGTTTGTTCATCATATTTTTAGGTTCTGGTTGAAAACTGACCCACATGAAATTAAGCTGCACACTCTTCAGTCATGTTTGTATCTTAAATGATTTATTTTCATAACGAGATGACTGAATCAGAACTTTCCTGCAGCTGTGAACCGCGTCAAACAGAAGCAGAATATCACACAAACGGATGATCTCAGTGTGTTTGTGTGGAGGCTCGCAGTCGTGTTGCTTCAATATTAAACATAAATAGTTTGTCTCTAAATCATAATGTTGTCATGTGTGTTTTGAACCTGTCTTAATGCAAATAATCTTAAATAATCTGCAGTACAAGACCACAGTTTAGAAAGGTGTGCACAGAGATAACTCAGCTGCATGGATGGCTTGTTTGAGCCAGCAGCCAGTCTCCTGCAGTCTCAGCCCACCTTCACACATTTTCTACTAAACGTCTCAGAATAATGAACTGATTCAGTTTAATCAACAATTTCAGAGTTGTTGTTATATTAGTTATTAAATGCTTTCCTGATCTTTATGTTCACACTTCCTGTCCTCTCAGATGCGTTCCGTGGATCGAGTCTTTAAATTCATCGACCTGCCATCAGAGGAGAAGCTGCTGGGCAGACCTGGTGGTAAAAGTGGACCTGACCTGGTCATCAATAACTCCCACGTGCATGACTACTGGCCCAGCCGTGGCCAGCTGGACGTCCAGGGCCTCACGGTGAAATACACGGACACCGGTCGGGCGGTGCTCAACAACATCTCCTTCTCTGTGGAGGGGGGGCAGAGCGTAAGTGCTGACTCGTGGTTCTGCTGTCTGACCAGTGTTTGACGAAACTGAATGGTTTGGTGTTCTTGGTGGGCTCAGGCAGTTTTCAGACCCAGAAATAATAAAGAGAAAACAACATTTTAGAAAATGGTGTAAATGTCTTCAACTGAAATGCCACATTTTGCTTTTTTGCCCTAACACCTAACATTTAGAAACATTTCTACATCTTGTCTGTAGTGGATCTGGGCTAAATTAAATTAGAAAACGTTCTGTACATGTTGGGTAAAAATTCAACAGCTCAATATTAGAACTGTTTACTGTTATTCTGTTATGTTTCTGACTTCTCCAGTCAAACAGGAGGAATGTTGGACAGAAACACATTAAACTCACAGATGGAGCCATTACTCTAACAAGAAACTGATGAGGGGATGATGTTCTGCTTGTGTTTACGTCTCATTTCTAATAATTTCAGTCAATCTGGTGTCAAGTTACAGAAGAGAAGTTCATCAATATATCCTACAACCAAAGAAAGGGTCAGGCTGGACAGAACTCATGAGATTTATTGAAGCGTTCAGACTGGGTAACAATTAAGAATGGCTTCAGGAAACATCTGTGCTCTCTGAGGGTTTATGTGGTTAAATTACAGTTGTTTGAAATGTGCTGCAATTTTGGTTTATTTTTTATAAAGACCAGGTGCCTCATGCATAAAGGATTGCGCAGCTTTCACATTAAAAGTTGACGTACGGACAATTTTAGAAAAGTGCGCCACACCAAAATATTCAGATGTATAAAACCGTGCGTACGCATGTTCCTGCGCACCTTTCCTTTATACATCCCAATGAACGTGGAACTGAGCGCACGTGAGACTCCTCCCCTGACACACCTCCATTTAAATCTGTAAAACAGATGTAAATGTGTCCAGTGTGTGAGATTCTCCTCAAATTCCTCTCTGTGGGATCCGAAATGATTTTTAGATGTAGGGAAATTATACATTAAACGGAGAATGAGTTAGAAAACTGTCGAAATAAGTAGTGGGGTGACATTGTTTTATGTGGCGCATTCACACGGGATAACCAAAGCCTGAGATTTTTCTGAAATTTACAGACATCTCCCGAATGTGATATTGAAGTCTGGTTAGTTGTTTTATATTTAGTTGAACACAGCCTTGAACGGACGTTAAAAAAATATAAAAAAATGAAATTAGAAAAAACAATAAACATTACGTTATCCACTTTTTGTGCTCTCCTTTGCTCCTGCGTTACAGCGCTGTCATCTCCACGTACAAACCCCCACCCCCACACGCGGGCACGCGTAGTAGCCTATGGATTATTAGCAAAAAATATAGATTTTTTGAGGCTCATTAGACAGGCAAACGTCTAAAGGGGTTGACATACAGCGGGTAAAATAAGTATTGAACACGTCAACATTTTTCTCAGTAAATATATTACTAGAGGTGCTAATGACATGAAATTTTCACCAGATGTTGGTAACAACCCAAGTGATCCATACATACAAAGAAATCAAACCATAAATGACCAGAAATTAAGTTATTTCTAATAATGTGGAATGGCACAGGGAAAAAGTATTGAACACATGAATATGGAAAGCCAAGACACCAGCTGAACTAAAGGTAAAAGTGAAGACTTCTCTCAAGACCTTCACAACCTTATTGTTGCAAAGCATAATGATGGCATCGGTTACAGAAGAA